CTTTCCACCATTTTTGAGACAGCCCCTTTTTCCGATTAACCTTGGGTGTCATTCCCATCTCTTCACAACGCCGCAAGTGGGTTGCCAGGGCCAGTGAGAGAATCGCCTTCTTACTAATGGGGAATCCCCTGTCAACGCGGTATTTGATGTAAAACACCAGACTTTCCTCCTCTTCCTTGGAGAGGATGTGTGGCCTTCCGTTTCGTGCGTTCACTTGACTTTTACCCTTTATTTTGTCAGTAAGGGTTGTCCGGGGAATTCCATGTTTTTTGGCAGCCTGCGTTGGCGTTAGGTGATTTTCATTAACATCGTCTAACACGCTCTGCATTAAGTTTGCGTCCCAGGTTTTCCGTTTTTTCTCGTAATTTTCCATGTTCTGAAAATTTTATTGTAAGTCATTATATGGTAACATTGGTGGAATGCAGTGCCATTCTTTTATTCATTTATCCGACCATTCATTCATTTATTCTGTTATACTAACAAATCAGCCATCTTAACTTACTAGTATCTTAATTATGAGTAATCTTCGTTCAACGTAAAGGTTCTATGGCTCTCAAAGTCCTTGAATGGTAACCAACTTGCTATTCATTCATTTTCAAAAATCTACCAGTTTGTTATCACTTCTGTATTACATTAAACAGAGCACACGGAAAAGTTATGGAGCGATACTGTGTGGCGTCAACAGTCCGAAATTGGACAATACCTCACCTAACCTTGAAATACACCGTCCTCTTAATTCAAAATGGAGCCATCTAGCGATCCATATCGAAATCGCAACAAGAATCCACATTATTCCTTTTATAGTTACATATTAAGCGTCTCTCTGAGTCCCTGAATGCGTTTAGAGCATAATGTAACGAAATTGTCACCTTATTCATCCCTTTATACAATAAAATAAGGCAAAAAAATGTTTACTACAAACCTTTGTCGTCCGAAGTTCTAAGTCTAGACCCGCCCAAAGCCTTCTGGGTAAGAAACATGGCGGCGTTCCATTTGCGTCGGAAATAACGAAATGTAGTCGCAATAAGAGCACGTTTTTTATTGATAAATCACAGCACGCCAGCAGATTAAGGTTAGGAAAGGAAACTTTATTAAGCTTTCTTGTTCACCAGTATGTTAAACTGAAGGTACGAGCGATATTTGTCTGCTATTCCTGTAAACAAGGGCACGATGTCTCCCTCCCACGGCGTAGTTCGGCCGTCGTAATAAAGGCCAATAATTGTCTGACCTCGTCCTCTTCGTATGCATGAGTGCCAAGTCCCACGCGGCACGGTACTGAACTCCTGGGTGTTCAACCTGTGCACACCTAAAGGGATAACTGATAGTGCATTGGTATATCTCTCGCTGTACACCGTTTTCTAGCGTGACGGATAAAGGTACTTTGACGGATAAAGGTCAATGGATGTTACGAGTCAAACCAAATGCGTTAGAATTTTTGTCAACATTAGATTAGTCACATATAACGTTAATATTGTTAATCATTGTCCCGTTTTATTTGTGAAATCCCCCGTGTCCTTTATTTGTCGAGTCCATCTTCCGAAGTCTATAGATCTAGAGATTTTGGATATTCACCCATTCATTCATTCATTGAATGTTTCCTCCATCCCCTCGATCGTCCGGTCATTCAGTTATACTGTGTAACATTTATAATGAAAAGTTATGTGTGGAAATTCGTGCCCGGAACATTGAAACAGAGTATAAAATAACAAATCTACACGATGAAAGGTAGCTGTATAGAACTATGTCTTAAGGGTTTGACTCCTCTTTTGTAAACCATGGAAGACGCAGTGTCCCACTTTTTCCAAAATTCATACATTCGTTCGTTCGTATTACTATGGCGGAGCGATACAGATACTGTAGCAGCGATTCGGTAGTAGTGCGTCGGTCGAGGTTTCCCGCGAATTTTGGGCCGCTCGCTGGGAAGTTCGTATGCTGCTAGCACCCAGCCTCTTCTTCCAAAACTCAGGCAGATGGGACATTTTATTACTTTCTTTTTGTAATACTAACATAAACTAACCTAAAAGGTAGCCGGTGACTTCATTGAATTTCACTCAACTTCGTGAAGGGCGTTACTAGCGGAAAAAGTATCCAAGAAGGGAGGGGTGAGGGTGCTCATCACCGAAGGTCGATCTCCAAGATGTCGTCTGCTACAGCCAAATTCCTTGTCCCGCTCCTTTTCCCAATGTTTTTGCTGCCTGTCAGAAGATGCCAGGCGGTATGGAGGTAACCCAGTTCAAGTAGTTTTATTTAATTGAATCAATCATATGGTGAAATTGTTCGGCTTTTTTCTTGAACGGCATTCCAGATTTTTGTTTTTTATACTAGAGGTGGGGAGGGGGGTAGCCGCGGCGACTGTTGCAGGGCTTCTCTTGCTTGCAGTCTTTTACAGTAGCCCTAACATGCAAAAGACTGCAAGCTTAGCAAGAGAAGCCCTGCAACAGTCTCCGCGGCTAGGGAGGGGGGCGGTTCTAGATGCTTGATTAGAAGGGATTCTTGGTCAGAAATCCCGAAATGGTACACTTTTAAAACTGAAAAACAGTATTAAAGTTAACGTTATAAATATGTGAATGAATTCAGACACACGTGTATTGCCAAACGGTAAACGCCGTCCTTTAGCAAAAGAGAGATCAAAATGCAAATTGAATTTAAAGTTCCTTCAGGGTGCTAACACACATGCTAACACACATGGTGTAACACAATGCTAAATTACTTAATTAAATGCATTGACATTATGCTGAGCAAACCATGAGTTTATTTAAATGATATATTTTTGCAGGTACTCCAGCTCCCTGACACAAGTGGAGGGCTTCACCACCAGAAATCCTGTAGGTATATATATAGAATACAACACGGGGTATTCCGTATCGCCCGAGGTATCGGCCCGACCGCGGCCGTAGGGCGATCCGACCCGCGGGAGGGCCGGGACCGAGGGCGATGCGGAATACACCGTGTTGTATTTTATTTATGTCATACCCACCCAAGAAAACACGCCTTTCAATGCATTAGATGAGCCAAAAGTTGGTGCCACTTGTCCCTAAAATGTAACAACATCAATTCCAACGTCCGGATTCTGTATTCGAATTTTCGAAAGGGGCACACGCAGGTAGGGCGAATCGTGTTCGAATCGTTTTATGGAAGCCATGGAAGCGTTCGATAACGGGTTCCAGGCCGTACCGTAAAGTACGGCCCGGTTCGGAACCCGTTATCGAACGTAATCGCGGCCCGGGTATGATATAAAGACAGATATCTCACTAACTCAGTAATTCTAATATTATAGCCATGCCAGATACACAAGACTAGTATTAATAGCCAACCACATTCAAACTCTCCTGTCCTATTATTAAAAGCCAAATATTTCAGATTTTGAAATTCCTCCCAACATTGCGTGCACATTATTGCTCTATACACCTCCACTAGCATTGTTTAAATAACATCTTTAGTAGTAGACTGCATCATAAAAGAACCCATCACGCTTATCAAGAAATAAAGGGTTGACCTGGCATGTTTGGCTAGATATGTGAGCTTTGGCAAAGCTACATTGCATTAATAATACTCATTCTTCACCCATCAGTCATTTTTCGTCTAAGTCATGTAAACTGAGAGTAGATTCCATCTTCTTAGATGAAGAACCAAAACCTCAATACTTTGAACAGTGAATATTGGAACACTTTTCCAGACCTGTAAAAAATCATTCAATTTTTTTCTCCTTTTCCACAGATTGTAGTGGAATATCTTGAGACTGTGTCTGATCTACAGTGGAAGGTGGAACCAGCCTGCCATGTCACACCTCAGGGGTTAGTAATAGCAGCCAGTGCTAGCCACACTTCAAAAAGTTTCCTACAATACCGGTATTATGTCTAACAATGAAGAGAAAAATTGTACAGTTCTTAGTGGCAAATATCTTGCCACATTGGGGACACCAATTTCAAATCTGTCTGTGTCCTCATCATTGTTTGGACACAGTATCATCAATTTAGCCGTACAGTGAGGAAGTCATGTGAAGTGCATTTCCCAAGGACAAAACATTGTACAGTGAAGAAAGTCATGTATATGTAAAGGGCACAAAATCGGGTATGTCAGGGGATCGAACCCGGCACCTCTTGGTTCCGAGTCAAGCGCTTTGCCCATTACGCCAATCCCATCAATGCCACATATATCAAGACAACAATATTTAACAACCATATGTATACATTTTCCATATAAAATTTAAAAAAGGGTCTTTCTTAGGTGAAGGATTAACAATGGAAATTCGATCTCGATAATTTTCCTGAATGTATGTCAGTATTGGAAGAAAATAACATATGTTTCATGTCAATTCAGGTCACTGAGTGCTTCCATCCAGTGTAGCAGTGCAGGACTGTATACCATGTATCCAGATATAGCAGGGGTAAGCTATATAGACATATCAGACAATAATTGTTAGGTCACCATTCGCGAACTGTAACAATTGCAATGTCTTACTTTACCTATTACTCATTACACATTGAGTGTTGAATAATTCTTGTAAAATTTTCAAGTTATGTAAATACACTCAATGCTTTAATGTTGCAAATATGGCTAGATTGATCGAGTTTTGAGTATTTTACTCACAATATAACTTATTGAAGACATACATTGTACTACAAAATCTTTTTTTTTCAGGCAGGTGCTTCAGATGACAACACACTCCATATGCAGGTGTTGGACAGTCCCGGCTGCTACAGGTGGTACCTGACACCTGTCAACAGGTGGGTTAGTGCACCTGCCTCACCTTGTATTATGATTATATCCATAGCTTCCTTTGTGACTATAGTAAGTTACTGTATAACACAGGAAGACAGTTACTCAAGCAACCAGATACGGATAGAGTTTGAAATGTTTTCAAAATCTATCCAGTTGCTTGAGTAACAATTTTCTTATGTATCTGATAAACTGGATGTCTAACTTTTATTGACACGTTGTATAATTATTTACCTCTATTTACTCAGGACAGCAGATATACCTAACTCCAGTGGAGAAACGGTAGGGATTCTCAAATTTCATCCTGGTACACATGTATGCACTGTATTATATCTTGAAATGTTAGCAATTGTTTTACTGTCACGGTTTTCTGGATGACTCTACTGTAAATTCATGACACTGTGAATATCACTCGCTTGCTATCCAGTTTATCATCTGTCGTTCCCCATCTTCTGAGGTTCAGACGTCAGGGTTAGACTTGAATATGTGTTTTCAATATGTGACTTAAGTAAACCTATTTTTGAACCTAGGTAGCCTAGTGTGCTACCTGAATTTCAAGAATTCCCGCCCGCCCCCCCAAAAAAAATCATGCCCACTTGGCTTGCATCACAGTATCTGGCAGATGCTTTTTGATTTTAGGTACTATTGACTATTATTAACTAAAGGCTGTTAGAAATATTGTCAAAGGCTTGTGTATGTAACATTACTTAATTTGAGGAGAGTAGTAAATTTGTTATAGGTGGGGCAACCTAAAATTCTGATGGCTCAACCTAATTTTTGACATTGGCTGCCCCCTCTGCTACCTGGTTCAAAAAAGTATTTCGTACACTAGTACACAGCACTACGCTATGAGTATGACTCCTGTACCACTACCACATAATTGTTTTAATAATAAACTTGAAATAAATTGAATGCAAAAGCTTTCTTCCCCTTGTGCAAAATTAAGTCCCTATGAAAATAAATGAATTTATAGTACTTCTTGATACTGTTGGTAACAACCCTGACCTAAACCTGACCCGTTATCTTGTTCCTCACAGTGGCTGCTCCATGTGTGGATTGTTGATGACAGACATGCCAGCATGAGTGAGCTGAACAACACTGCACAGGAGCCTTCTGAGGCAAGGAGTTGATGTTATTGGAAAGCATGTTTTAATAGTGTGCTTGCCACGTTTCATGTGTACAATGAAAGAGTGTAACAAACCATTGTTTTTAATGCGTTATGTACGAAATTCGGGTATCCCGCAAGAGCCTTACCGAATAAAAAATTTAAAATTTTGAAAAAATTTCTTCTCTTTTCAGACATACAGGCTTGCTTATTATGCACATGGGTGTACCAGTATACACAATGTACTATATTATATATGTCATATAATAAGAGTTATCCTAGGAACTCTAAATAAAAATAAAACTGAATTAGATAAAACCAGTAGCTTTGTTTAAATTGCTTTTTTGTAATTTAATTAAATGTTTTTCCTATGATAAAGTTCTTTGAATTCTGTTTACTTTCAAGTAATCTTGTTGGTTTTGAAACTATCTAGTACTCAGCCCAGCTGACTAAGCTGTCCTGGAGGAAAAAGCAGCACCCTGAGGTAAGGCAGCTCTACAGCTCACATGTACAGCATGTGCTGCCCAAGAGGACAGCATACAACAGAAACAGCAGGTGAGTCAAACAGAGTGCATCTTACTAGTAGTCTGGTGCTTTTAATGTTGTGTTCAAGATACAGCAAAATCCTTCAATGTTATTCAGACATCATTATTAAGGTAATACATGTAGAAAATGTCTTTCAAAGCAAGTCTAATAGCTTATCCAGATAACTGTTAATATTTTGTTGCTCACCATATTTAACACATTTATGTTGCAGAAGGATGATTTTAATGAATGAAATTAATGTAAACATTAAGTTAATATATGTATAAGGTTGTAGATGATGAAATAAATATTGTGAATATCAAGTTATAGGATGGATGGATAAATTGATGGATGGATGAATGGAAGGATGGTTGAATGGATGGATGGAAAGATGGATGGATGGAAGGATGAAGGATGGATGGAAAGATGGATGGAAGATGGATGGATGGAAAGGTGGATGGATGGGTGGAAAGATGGATGGATTGAAGGATGGATGGAAAGATGGATAGAAGATGGATGGATTAATGGATGGATGGATGGAAAGGTGGATGGATGGAAAGGTGGAAAGATGGAAAGATGGAAGGATGAAGGATGGATGGATGGATGGATGGATGGATGGATGGAAAGGTGGATGGATGGAAAGGTGGAAAGATGGATGGAAAGATGGAAGGATGAAGGATGGATAGAAAGATGGGTGGAAGATGGATGGATGGATGGATGGATGGATGGAGATATGGATGGATGGATGGATAAAACAGGCTAATTCTTTTTGTAGTAGATGATATCTATTAGTAAATGCCAATTTTTTCCATGTTCACTGTAGCCTGTGGGAGATAGTTGTGGCTGTAGACAGCTCCGTGGAGCAGGCTCTGGTAGTCTCAGGACAGCCTGTACTGCTGGATAACTGTTTTGTCAGGTATGGTAGAATTTATCAACATTGTGACTAAGTACAATCATTGTCTTACTAGCCTTATGATGACTTAGTAATGTACATTTACAATTTTGAATATACCAACAAGGTCTTTTTTTGAATGGGCAAAAAAACTGTATCGTTGGGGAAAAAGGGGCGGTGGTGGGTGATTTTTGGAGAGAGAAAACAAAAACCTGGCTGTGGTAGCCAAACTGAAAATATAAGAGGCCGTCACGTGAATGGACAAAAAAAGGTTATGTTATACTTTTATTAAGTATGGTTATCTAATACAGTTATAAAGTACCTGTGTCTAAATATTGACTTAAAGACCGTATGAAATATATGTATGACATTTTCAAATAATTTTTTATAACATGGGAAAATAGTAGTATTCTTACTCAAAAATGAATACCTAAGCTATATGTGCCTATTTATCGCGAAATTTGCACATTTTGACCGTCCCGTCACTGAGCACAGCTTCGCGCTGCGCGACTGGCTCCAAACCGGAAGTGACGTAACCTACAGAACACAGAAGCGCATCCGAAGCAATATGGCGGAAAACCAAAACATCCGGCCATAACACGTAGTGTTTTGCTGAGAGAATCATCATGCCCGTCCGTTGCGTTGCGGGGTATTGCTCCAACTCTTCCGAGAACAAGGATGTGAGCTTTCACACATTTCCAAAAGATCCTGTTTTGCGGGAGAAATGGGCTAAACAAGTGAACCGCACCGGAGTTAACTGGTCACCATCGGAGCGGTCGGTTCTGTGTTCCGCGCATTTCGAGGCCCATCATTTTGACGCTAGGCCAGCTCTAAAGGAGAAGCTTGGATTTGCTGTCCGCTGTAAAAGGGTTTTGCTGCAAACGGCGATTCCCACAATCTTTCCACGCGGAGAGCCAGCCGCTACACCGCCCGAGAAGCCACGAACATCCCGGGCCGTAGAGAAAAGGCGTAATGCTGAGGTAAGTTTCTCGGGTTACAGGATTCGGCTCCTGATTTGTTGTCGGTAACCACGCCCCCTTACCGCCCCCAGGCTGCCCAGGATAGCCCCCAGGATAGCCCCCGCTAGTTTTGGGACTTTTGATATCGCCGCGGCTGTGCAATTTTCGCGTTTTAATTTGTTGTTGTGGGGGGGGGGGCTCTAAATATATACGATGTACATGTATGATTGTTAGAGTTCAAAACAGCCATGTAAATTTGTACTCGCTAGTATTTTTCCTCGCCTTCTTTATCAAATAATTTGGCGTCGTTGTGGCAAAATGTGGAGGGGGAGGGGGGCAAATATGGGAAGGATTGGATACATGTACATATTCTGTACCTAGCTGTTGTTTTTGCATTTGTTGTAGCAAATTTGCACCGATACAGCAGCTAGTTTTGAGGGTGCCTCTGTGTATACTGCTCTTCATTATTTTTCATAGCAAGGTAATGAAAATGTGTTGTGTGCTACAGTGTATGCTAAATGTGATTTAACATGGAAATACAGGTGCTTCAATTTTATTTTTCAGACAATCAAGGAATGCATGGCTTCCTACGAGAAAGGGCAAAAGGAGCTTCGCCTTGACATTGATGTAAGTTTGGAAAAACACAAAATAATGGAAACGTTTTGTTATTTGTATACATAAGTCATTATTGCTGAATGTAGTTTAGACTACAGATTTATGTGCCAGCAATGTCACACCCTCTTATAGAATGTATATATATATATATTTATATATTTATAGTAATTGCATAGCTTGTCTGACATATGTGCTCTGCTGAAGTGAAAAGTACTAATTCCATACATATGCATTCATCTATGTATTCAGGTGAACCCACCAGTGAAATCCTGTGGTGTACAGGCCTACCTGAAACCCAAGTCACGGGACGTCGCTGTTCAACACAGAGCACGTGCACGTGGACGCACCAAAGGTAGTTGAGCCATTATACTTATTTGATCTTGATGTTAGCTTTTCCTTCATGGTACCTTTACTTTTTTTACATGAAGATGCAGATCATGATGACAGACGTATTGTGCCATCCTGATTGACTACATGTAAAAACGGTGGCTGTTTTGGTGTCAGTACTAGTTGTTTTGTTGTCAAGTTTTGGATGATGATATAAATTTGATCATGATATATTTTCCCAGTACTATATCCCCACCTTTACACAGTGTCTTCAATGTGCAAACATAAAAATTGTATGGTTTTCCCTGTTTTTCCAGGTGTGCAGGTAAACATGACACCTGTAACTGTGAAGATGGTGACGGTCGCCACACAGACGAAAGAAAGCAGTTTCAAGAAGAAGACGTTAGATCGACCCCTGGATGAGGAGCCAATGTCTATGTCAGATGAAGACGAACAGTCTGACTCTGGGAGCGAATATGTACCATCTGATGAAGAAATGGAGGAAGACCAGGATCACTCAGAACAGGAACCATGTAACACCCCACCCAAACATGGGGTTTTCTTGGTTTTCTGGGCGTGCCTTGCAGATCTGATCACTACGTGGTTCAGCTGTCCGGAGTGCACTTGCAGAAAGCTGTCGTATGAGTGCAGGGAGGTGGGCACCCTGTTAAAAGTGGCACTCACATGCAGCAATTGCAAGTACAGAGGAAAGTGGAAAAGCCAGCCCTTCTACGGGAGGACTGCGGCAGGCAACATCCTGTTGTCTGCTGCCATCTTGTTCAGCGGAGCCTCGGTGACCAAGGTTCTATGGGTATTGTCCCACATGGGAGTTGCGGTCATATGTGCGCGCTCGTTCTTCCGCCACCAAGAGAAGATCCTGTTCACCGCTGTGGAGCGCATCTGGCGAGAAATGCAAGTCGGGATGCTGTACGTCCTACAGAGCGAGAGTCCGATCGTGTGTGGCGGGGATGGCCGTGCTGACAGCCCCGGCCACTGTGCGAAGTACGGCTCGTACACCCTGATGGAGTTAAACCAAAGAAAGGTCATCGACGTGCAGCTAGTCCAGGTACATTTTTCTTGTGGCATGGCTTATGTGCATAGATTACCTGGTATAATTATATTTGTATGGGAAAAGTGTCTATGTTGGTTTGTATTACAGCTGTCTTTGCAATTTTTATTTCAGAGCAACGAGGTAGGTGGATCCTATCACATGGAGCAAAACGGATTGGAGAAGTCCTTGGCGTGGATGGAGAGTGTGGATGTGGAGGTGGGGACTCTCGTCACTGACCGACACGTAGGCATCAACAAGATGATCAGAGAGGATCACCCTACTATCAAGCACCTGTTTGACATCTGGCATGTTGCCAAAAGTAAGTACATTTTTTTCATTTCATGAACATGTAGTATTCTAGTAAGGAATTATTGGTCATAAGTCAATCCTGTCTGGAATACACAGTACTGTATAGTTTGACAAACTTTTTAAAGCCCTTTTCCTTTTGTGTGCAGGGCTGTGGCACCATAACAATTTTATTCATAAGATCCCTGCATGTCCTTTATGTTTTGTAGGTGTGAAGAAAAAGCTCCAACACTTGAGCCAGAGGAAAGGGTGCCAGGTCCTGAAGCCTTGGGTGGGCAGCATCATAAACCACTTGTATTGGGCAGTGGTGTCAAGTCCAGATGACAACAGACGGCTCGCTGTTGACAAGTGGAAGTCAGTAGTGTCTCACATCTGTAACAAGCATGAAGGTTTCCAGGGACAGTTCCCCCGCTGTGAACATGGGCCTCTGGAAGGACGGGAGCAGGAGAAGGCCTGGCTTACTGCAAGTGAGTACTGGTATATAGTTAAAAGTTACGAAATTGTGATTTTGCTCATAAGCTGAGGTCAGAGAATTGTGATTTTGTTATTCCTGTATCCATCTTTAATTAGGGACATGCTGGAGTTCCTGATTTTTCTTCCCTATTTTACACTCTATTTCTTCCCAATTGCCAACTTATGGTCATTTTTGTTCTTCATTCAACAAGAGATCATAACCACTAGAAAGAAAATATCCCTATGTTGTACATATTGTGTATTACTACAGAGGTTGTAGAAGGAAATTTTGTTTGTTTGGGTTGTTTATGTAGGTACACAACTGTCAACAGATGAAGAGAAGATAGTCTACAACGACAAGTTACTGAAGGACATTGGACGCCTGTCACCTGTTTTCCAGACCTGGTCACTTGAAGCCTTCCATAGTTTGATCTTACATTTTGCTCCGAAGATGTTTGCCTTCTGCAACAAAGGGATGGAATCCAGGTAATGATTTTGGTTGCATTTTGAGAAAGATTTTAGCATAACACAAGGGATGAGTTATGCCCTTACAGAGTGTTAATCTGTGTTGTACTCCTCTTTCAGGGTTCGAAAGCTTGCAAGCGCTTCACTTCAATGAAAATGCGGACCGGGCCCACAGACAAACTGGTGTTGGTGACCTGATGTACAGTGTACACTACCCAAAGCACAAGCAGGGAGGGTACATTGTTCGCAAAGTTCTGGAACAGCCATCCTTTGGTGTGTATAATAGCAAAATGAGTGAAGAAAATTCTGCTTCTGATTTCAAATTTTAGTTTCTTTTGGGGTTTTCTTATACCATGGCCTTATTTTGCATTATGTTGTATGTTTATTTTGCATTATGTTGATAGAAAATTAGCATCATTAGACAGGGGTAGCCTTCTTAAAATGTTTCAATATGTTCACCCACTGCCAATGATCATAAGATATAATTATGATGATAGCATATGTTTATTTGTCACCTTTTTTCATTCCTTCATGTTGTAAACCCACAGGAGCTAGAGTTCTGGCACCAAACCTAGGCATCTGAAGTTCTAGTACATCTAACCCTTGCAAGAGCACCTCTAACCGTCACGAGAGCACTTTTGTTTGTTTGTGCCTTTATTTACACTCGATATAGTGTGATGTACACAATAGGTTGTCCCATTCAGCCATTTGGCCGCCTTTCATGGGGGTGGCGTTTGGGAGGAAGGTCGGGGTCAGACAAAATAATAGTAGCAATAATAATATAATTATACAAACATTTGTCAAAATAAGTCTCAACACAAAATCAAATAATTGCAAAAAATAAATAAATAAGTAACAGTAACAAAACAGGTCATCGTGTCATTAGAGCCATAATCGTTCCGTACAGGTCAGTCACCGTGACTTCTAATCTAAGATGTGGAACAGCAAACATTTAAGTACACAAATAATGATAAGAATTAATTTTTTAAAATATTGCCAAGAAAATTTTGTCTATGTTGATCGGGTAATCGCTTTCTTGATCTAGTCACTGACAATATTTATATTCCTTACAGGGTACGTGAAAATCTTGATGGAGAGTGTGAAGGAGATCTGCAGGGGACAGGAGTACAACGGTGACATGCTGGAGGGGTTGGAGTTTCCTGAACCTGGACCAGTACCCCAACCACTGACTGCCCAGTTCGAGAAGCCCGCCAAGGCAGACGCAGTCAACAGTCATGTAACTAGATTCAGGCTCTAAAATGTTTCAGTAAGAACGGATAAGGTACTTACAATCCTACAGCTTGAAACATGCAGTCCTACAAATAAGAACCTTTCTGTTATTGTTGATGACAATCAAGGCATGTTCAGTTTTACCTTTTACCTGTCATAAACTTTATTTTGTAGTAGTCAAACAAACCAGTAAAAGGATAAATAAGGTACATACAGTCCTACAACGTACAAGTGAAAACATGCTCAAGTGCAACTTAGTACATTTCTGTATATTGTTGTTGACAATCAAGGCATGTTCAGTTTTACCTTTTATTGCTTTGGCTACTGATAAGGTGTATACTTTTGTACAGTTCCTAAGACAAGTTATACAGTGGCTATGTCTTAAACCTTTTTTGTAACAGTCAAACAAACCAGTAAAAGGAATCTGGATATATAAGGTAAATACATTCCTAAAAGTGTAAACATCCTCAAGTGCAACTAAGTACTACTTTTCTGTGTGATGTTGAGGATAATGAAGGAATTTACACTCTTAACTTGTTAATGACTTGTAGTAGCTAGGCTACTAATAAGGTGTATACTTTTGTACTCTACCAGTTCCTGAGACAAAGTAATACTACTAGTAATACATTGGCTGTGTCATAAACTTATTAGTAACAATCAAAAAGACCAGCAAAGGGGTAAATAAGGTATCCAGATTTATATATATCCCTACAAGTAAACATTATCAAGTGCAACTACCTACCTATCTGCATACTGTTGAGTGCAATCAAGGCATGTTAAGTTTAAACCTGTTAATGTTTGTAATAGTTTTGCTACTGTGTAATTTGTACGTGATGTTCGAGTTCATGAGACCAAGATATCTAAGTTACACAAGTTAGATAAATGTTGTCAACTTTACTTCATGTAACAATAAACTTTTGACATGGAGAAAGATAGATTTCTTTTTAATCCAAATTTATATATGTATTGTTGATGCAACAGAAAGGTGGCAACTCAAGGTAAAAGAAAGTCTTTGAACGAGTATGTTCTACTGACTGCTCAGTACCAGTACCAGGATCAGTACGGACAGGCCCTATGCCCTGTTCTCCCTGTAGCCCGTATAGTTCTCAGAAGAGAAGGCCGACCTAACTTTAGACACAACACAGGACGGCAGGGGGACCCTGATGTCTCTCCCCAGGTGGCCGTACGTCCACCGGACAAACTGCCGGTAGGCAGAGTATCTCTTCCACCTGAAAGGTGAAAGACAGACATTAGTAAGGGGTCTAGTAATAGTAATGCGATGAAAACAACATTCTGCTTATATTATTTTTTAAATTCTGCCTATCTATGTTATACAAAAATTTAGAATATCCTAAGGTCCAGAACACTTCATACTCACTCGTTTCCGAGGGCCTGTCCGTACTGATCCTGGTACTGGTAGTGAGCCGTCAGTAGAACATACTCGTTCAAACATACCGGCTGAAAGCCGATATGTTCAGTGATACATTCGATGCCCTGGACCTGTTCTCTGGTCTCTGAAACCCGGGCCTGTTCCCTACAGCAGACGCTCTCCACTTCCGAGTTCATCGCCTCGCATTGTCCACAGGTACACCTATTAAAAATTCAAAGTGTTCTTGAAATCACTGGGGGACTTGTATTATACTGTGGTGTTTCTTTTTGACATTGTAGGTGAGGGGAAAAAAGAATATTCGTTGGCATAGACGTGGCAGCCATTTATTACGGTAAAATTACGGTATATAACACGTTATATACCGTAACTTGACATGCGGCGTAAACTCTGGTAACCTCCTATTGTTAAAGTTTCAAAATCAATCCCAGGTACGTGCAGCAAAAACTGCGCCACTATACATTGTATCATGTCTTACTTACCAGTTCGTATTATTGCGTCTCTGAACGCCCATGGGAATGGCGTTGTCATCCCGGTTGTCATCGGCGTCCCCACGCGCGTCTTCCTCTCGACCTTGAAGTTCCTCGTCGCTATCCTCCGGTTCTGCCTGCTGTTCGTCAAGATACGGCTCGAACCGGTACGGTACAATACCTCCCACGGCCCCCTCTACTAGCTCCACTAGCTCTTCGCGCTCGAAAGCCTCAAAAATAGCTTCCACACTTGACTCCGATGAGTCTGAGTCCGAGTGGTACTCGTCGTCGGCCATATTGTGTATAGCAGGAGCAGCGGAGTTGGAACACGCCGTTCTGCACGTGACGTCACAGCACTTCCGGTTGCGGGCCCGGAGTCTCGCCCGCGGATCGCGAAAATCGCAATGTTTGAAAGGCCGTATAAGCTATATTTTTCAATGATTACCGGTAAAAACTACTTTAATATGTTGAGACATATGTATATTTTCGAAATGTCACTGTTTTTAACCAACTTAATTAGGTTTCATACGGTCTTTAAGGTTTGAAGTATGAAGTACTTTGATATCAACTGTAGATTGAACCAATAGTACGCAGAATTCAATTATGCCTTCTTTTCTCCTGTGCACGTACATGTAGCACCCTCTTGAACAGATGAAATGGAACAAAATCAATCCTTGATTTCAGGGACATGCAGGTTCTCTTATATCAACCACAGTTTACTGACAGCACTGTGTCAAGCTCAGTAAGTAATACAGTCTATGTATGTGGGATGTTGAAATAATAATACTTTACTACCCTCTATTCAGTGGTGTTCCTGTGATTTTAAAACTTGCAGTCATGATTAAAGTTATAACATTACGGATAAACATCATGAAAAGGAAGATCACTGATGGTCAAATTTTTTTGCCGTCCCAAAGAAATGTAGACACTGCATTGACAAGATTCCTTAATCATGTTTTACATATTAGGTTCTAAGTTTGATTATTCAGCACAAAATTATATATTTTATTTATGTTTACTGGAGGAAAACATTGTTTTGCTCTGTTTCTTCTTTGGTCCCAAACATTGACCTGGTCAATGACCTGAACCAGACCGTCTGTAACCATGGTAACTGGTGTTGGGTTACATCATGTTGCAATTTTATAGTAGGAGGGATTTATACTCCTTCCACCATATATATGTTTCAGTAAGAATTAACAGCAGACCGTATGCGAAGGTAAACCTTATGCATTTGCTTTGAAAATGTTACCTTTCTAGTTAAGGTTACTTTTTATATTTTGCTACAGGTGTCTTTGAAAGGAAGTGTTACTGCACCAGTCTTTGTACAGGTGTGTTTATCTTAACAGAGAGTTAGGTCACTTTGATTCATATATAATACTAATATAGTTGTAATTATATAAAGAATCATTGTTTTCACCATTTAATCTGTTAATAGAGTGTACAAGCTACAAATAGCTTTCAATATGAGAGAAAGTTGACTGAATTCATGCTACACCTCCAACTTTTCCAGAGTCCAGTTTCTTCAGGGGTTGCTCTCCTGATTACCAGGTACACACTCTTCTGCTATACTGTATACTAACTCAACAACCTGGTTTGCAAACATTCTGATAAACTGCAAAGCTTAAATATCTAAAGTGCTGTGCTGTATGTCAATAAAAGTATTGTTTTCTACTTGTATACAGGAGCATGATAAATAAAATATTTTCTTGATCATTTACTGTGCTTCTGTCAGTGTATAAATCAGTAAATTATATTCTTAGACATTGTTTATCAACTGTACAATATAATAGAATACTATTAAAAATATATTAATATCATGAAAGTTCATCTGTGTTGGTAGTTACATGTTTAGAGTTAAAACTTTCGATCCAACACAAAAAAGTCTATCACCTATAGAGTTCTCAACCAGTCACTCTTGTTTTCCTCAGTAGATATTTTTGACCCAGTGTTGACGTCACTCCGCAAAGAAGCCACGTGACAATTTTCACTGGGTCAGTCTACTGAGGAAGACCAGAGTGACTGGTCAAAAGCTCTAGGTGAGAGAACTTTTTGTGTTGGATTGAAAGTTTGTTACAGGTTAATGATGATATTGTTTTCTTTACAGCACAGAGATTCTCTTTACTCAAGACAGTTTTCTGACAACTGATGTCTTAATTATTCCTGATGATGTTCTTCAGGTGAGTCTTTGTCACAATACTAATTTCGTGACTTATAAATTATAGATAGCACAATCATGATTGTATTACAGAAGAAAGTAAAATGAATAGGCTTTGTTTGGATTCCAGCCTTTCAAGTTTTAGTACATGACTAATTAGCTAAAAAGGCTGCTGGCATCCAGGCTATTATTGTGCTACATTATTGTATATAAAAGTAAAACAAATATGCTTAACTTGGAAAGCACATGGACAATCTGATGTATATGTAGCTTATTATATACTTTTGGGAACTTAAAGAAACTTGCAACTTAAGGTATATTTTAAAGTCAGTTAGTATTAAAATGTATAATTCTCAATATTTCTACCCTAGTCATGCGATGGTGTTGTGCATGGAGCAGCATTCACAGGCAGTCACCTGTATGTGATAGCCTGCAACAGTCTGCTTAGGACGGCTCAGAATGGGACGTGGGAACAGGTCACTGTTCAAGGTTTGTTTGTTTGTTAGTTGCGTAAGACCGGACTGTAAAGTTTGAACCACTCACACCGGGAAGGACCTCTACTCTTTTCGATGGTGGGTTCTTAAACGTGCACGGGGTGTGGCTCTCCCAAACATGGGACCTCCTATCCAAGGGACGTCCCTAACTGAAGCTTACTAAGGTACTCATTTCCACCTGAGTGAAGTGAGGAAAGTTGTGTTATTAAGTGCCTTTCCCAAGGGCACAAGATCGGTGACATTGGGTAGGACCTCTTGGGTCTGAGCGGAACACCCTAACAACATGAGGATATGAACTTCAAGGCACTTTTTGAGTTTAATATTATGTGTCAATACTACAAAAATATTCATTGATCACTTACATATACCATACAACCATTTCATTTGACATAATCATATCTTAATATGGTTTGTTACACCTTTGCCCGATTTATGTGCATGTGTATGGAACACTACTGTGCATGCATATGTGCAAATCGTCATGTACATTTGTTTAAAATAATTGCATTTTGTACATGTGGTCTCTAGTCATAATTGCAGTGAGTTCTCCTCTGCAACATGTTGTTCTTATTCATTTTGATATTACATTCAAGTAACAGGTACTGGATAGTGCATGGGAATGTATGAAACTCTATTCCTCACAGGAGCTTCAGGAGGATTGGTAGGGCTAAAATCCAGAGAAAGACACAGTAGGCTAGGCCGAGCACAGGTACAATTTGGGGTAGAGAGCAGGAGTCTGATGGAGCATGTTGTTCACAAGATGATTTTCAGTTTAGTTCAAGAAAGTTTTTAAGTTTTCTTAAATGGATGGATGAATGAAAGTATTGATGGATGGATGGACGGACGGACGGATGGATGGATGGATGGATGGATGAAAGGAAGCATGGATTGGTGCACAGTGTCTCAAAATTATGGCATGTGACATTGTTTTGTGCATTTAAACAGTTTTTATTACATTTTCAGAAGTGTTAAAGATAGTAACTATGTTATACCTAGTAAACACACTGATTATTTTTGTTTGGGGTTTAGTTAATCTTATCACTGTTTTGGAAATCATCTTTCATTTAAATGCAATTGTTTTTTTAGAATTTTTAATGTTGGATAAGTATATTTTACTGTCGCTTACTAAATGATGACAACTGTTTGTCTTTTTGCATTTTGTATGTATGTCTTTTTGCTGACAAGAACAGTAAACCAGTCTACCAAACCGACATTACATACTTGGAACAAACACACTTTTTAATCACATTTAATTTATAGCTAGTAACTACATTGGGTTATTATTGTTTGGGGGTTAGTTTCAGGTACCACATTCTGCCCTGTAAATAGAGATATTCTTGAATGTTAATTTTCCTACAGTAACGTTATATGTTGCTGTTATAATTTGGTCTGTTGGACCTGTCCTTGGTGCTGAAAGAGACATCTGACACTGAACATGTCTTGTCCATTCAGTTACTTCAACGCATACTGTTCAAAATAAAAAAAAATAAGTCAAGGCATCAAACTGTTCTGTAGTTAGCATCAAGTTACTACTCTACTAACTTAGGCCACACCAATTTGATTTGTTGTTTCTCGGAATTTTTCAGAAAAAATTTGAAGCAACAGGGCGAAATAAAAAAAAAAACAGGACAAGGCCAGAAATGTGACAATATGAGCCATGAGGTCAACATACCAGGCTGGTTTATAATCAAAACAATAGATTTTGAATGTTTAATGAAACAAAGTTGCATTCAATTTGTTACATTGAAAAACTGTAAGAACTTGGAAGAAAAGGACTTTCTTCAACCATTAGGGCCAAAATATGTCTTTATTAAGCATTTTGCAGTTGATTCAGAACCTAACATTTTTTTTTTGCAAAGGCCACACAAATTCAATTTCTTGGTTAACGGATTCGCCGCTTCATTTTTTTCTGATTTGCAAATAAAAATAAAAATTCAGAATCAACTGCAAAATGCCCATCTTTTGCCCTGAACAGTTGATAACAGTCCTTTACATCGTAGTTGTTACAGTTGTTCCATCTTTCAATGCAATGGTATCAATAAAAGTTCAAAATTCATTGTTTAAATTTTGAACCAGCCTGGTGTGTTGACTTTATGACTCCTATCGTACCATTTTGGGCCATAATAGGATGCCTAGGGCTGTTTTTATTTTTATTTATTTTTCGCCCGCCCGCTCCATTATTTTTCTAGAAAAATCCGTTAACCAAGAAATTAAATTGGTGTGGCCAAATCAGAAAAAAATGAACAGGGAGAATCCGAGAAACAACAAATTAAATTGTTGTGGCCTTACATTTACTAACTTACCGCTCTTCTACTTTAGCTAATTAGCAAATTAATTTAGGTCTTATTATTTTTTCCTTGAGATGGATGACGAATGCCTGGCAGTTTGGACTGATACCCAGCTTTACTTGAAGACATCCAGTCAGAACAGCCTGGAGCTAACATCCCTGCCAACTGTACAGCTGGGAACCAGTGGGTACAATAATCACTCAGTAAGTCTAAATACACAGTATTATCACATGAGGATTGAATTAAGTTTGAGATTTAAGCGTTCCATCCGTGGTAAACAGTTGATAACATGCCATTTAGTACTCAAGTTCTTGTAGGACAGGTAGGAATAATGAAGTTTAGCCTGACTAAAGTATGATAAGGCCACAGCAAGTAATTTTTATGGATGACATCAGCACGCGCATTAATTTTCGCCCGATTTTAGAAAAAAAAAGAAATTTTGTTGCCTTTTGACAGTGGTCAACATGCCGAAAATGGGCAAAGATACCTGTTGCCATACTGGAGCGTGGATGGCAGATAACTATGAAGAGAGGAGACAAGAAAAGGCTCTGATTTAATGTTGATTCTTCCTTTGATGCCATGATATGTGATGTTGGCTGTGTATATGTAATGTTCGTACTGAATAAAAAACCATTTCTACAATGATTGAGTCAAAATTTTAAAATGTAGGAACCTTGTTTTTTTCGGCTCGCCTTGTTTTTTTTTCGCCCTCTCGCATTAGATTTGGAGTCTGCGGAGGATGTCATCTATAAAATTTACTTGCTGTGGCCTAAGTATATCTCGCACTATGTACATTTTACATCTAGTGTAGGAAGAATACATGAGAAAAAATGCCAGGGTAAACTGATAATTTTTCTTAGTTTTTTTTTTCTTTTTAGGCCATACCAATTTAATTTGTTGGTTTTCAGATTATTTCGGAAAAAATATGAAATGACAGGGAAAAAATAAATAAATAAAAACAGCTATGATTGGAGCCATGAAGTCAACAGTTAAGGCTGGGTTAATTTCTAAACAATGAATTTTTAACTTTTAATCAAACCATAGTTTAAAAAACTGTAGCAACTGCAAAAACTGTAGGAAGAAAAGGACTTTCCTCAGCTGTTGGGGGCACAATATGAGCATTTTTTAGATGATTCAGAATAAAAAAAAAATTAAGTAGCAAATCCGAGAACCAACAAATTAAATTGGTGTGGCCTTAAAAAAGAAAATCTTGTATTAAGTTGAGGTATTGAACAATGCTGATTCATGATCAAACAGATCTTAGGCCACAGCATTTTTATGGATGACATCCGCGTGCGCATTGATTTTCACCTGATTTTGGAAAAGAAAACAAGAAATTTTGTTGCCCTTTGACGGTGGTCAACATTCCGAAAATGGACAAAAAGCCATGCCTTGCCATGCTGGAAATATGGCACTCTCTGATAAACATGAAGAGAGGAGACAAAACAAGGCTCTGATTTATAATGTTTTGACTTTTACTTTGATGCGGTGATGTATTTTATTCCTTTTATACGTTCCCACCGAATCAAAACCATTATTTTGTACAATGATTGAAAACTTTCCCTTTTCAAAGTTGTTTCAGTAACAAATGGATGTTGTGACAGGTGGCAGTAAAGTTAGCACTATATAGCTAGTTTATACTAGCTGGCTTCTAGTTTAACAGGGTTCATGATGTCAAAATTTCAAAATATAGGAATCTTGTTTTTTTGGGCCCGCCTTGTTTTTTTTTCGCCCTCTCGCATTAGATTTGGAGTCTGCGGAGGATGTCATCCATAAAATTTACTTACTGTGGCCTTACTATTCTTTTCCTCTCAAGGTGCCAATTTTGGATGTATCCTTCTCCTCTCACCCTGAGGAACTTGGTGTCTTGGTACATGTCCAGACATCTGGAGCTGAAGATAAGGTACATGTCTTTGAGGAATTTGAAGTCATGTCAAGAGACTAAATATAAAATAGATCACAGATGTAATGATTTTTGTCATTATGAGTTAAGCTGCTGGACTCTGTATGAACAGATAAATATTATATATGACAGTGTGTAATGGATTTTTGTCTTCAATCATGAAACCTGCTTCTGACCCTGACTTATTCACCCATGTTCTCAATGGAAAACAGGACATTGAGTTTGAATACATTGTATTTCATTTAATTAAGTTTCAAGACCTTATACCATTGCCAAATTATGTTCATTCTACCATTGACCACTTAATATGCTTCTCATTAATCATGCAACTAAGACCCTTATTTGCCTAAATAATATAATGAATGATGACACACATGTTTATCATATTCCTGAAATGTATCATATCATCAACCTAATGGCAATCTTACCTTAACAAACTTTAAGGCGGCCATTCCTGCATTTTGTCCTAGATAATAGCCTTCTTGGCAAACGTCGACGTAAAAAAAAGGCTCAAACAAACAAAATTAATGTGGCCTTTTGTTTTGGTAGGTCATGATCTTACAGTATGACCTGTCTACAGCAGTTTGGAGCCTGCCTGAGTCAACTATGGAGTATAGCTCAGCAGGTAGGAATATGAATAAATAATTATTTTCAAATATTAAAAAAAAAACTGTTTGAAACAAGATATGGTTGTTTGATGTGTTCATATTTAAGTGATAGTTTTCCATATTGAAATTGATTCTGTTTATAATGCAACACTTATCATGGCTTCTTTTTGAATTGATAATATTACCTTGCTTGATGTTGGTACATATACAGAAAAGGTTATACAACATATAACACAATCATGATGGTCTTGTGACAGAAGAAAATGCGAGCGAAATCATTAATCATCCAGTAAAAATTATATATCATATATCATATATGACAGTTATACTGAGTTTTGACTGTTTTTACTTCTCAAGGCAATTTCACACTACTGTACCTGGCCAGTGCACTGCCTGAAGCCTTAGTTTGGGACCCTGCTAGTGTGACATACTCCTTCAGTAATGGTGAGTACAAAAAGCAAAAACTACAACACTCTTCTAAGAGTTGATAAGGCCACACCAAGTTAATTTTATGGATGACGTCCTTTGGAGACCCTATATCTAATGCGAGAGGGCGAAAAAAAAACAAGAAGGGCCCTAAAAAACAAGATGCCTAGATTAGAAATATACTAAGAGACGACAAATGTTAGGACACAAATTGAATGAGGTGATACAGTGTAACAAGCAAGAAGTCTTTTATTTATCATCAAAACGACAATAAACCAGGTGGAACAGCAGTTGTCGTCCTGTCCTGTTTCTTTCACATTTTTGCAGGCCTGCAGAAACAAAGCATGTGCTCTTTCACATTTCGCGTTACGGGTTTCACGTCAATCTAACGATTTGCGGCACTGTCGTGACTCTTTGGTCATAGTTACAGGAAGCAGAATTTCTTGTTTTTTACCATTTTCGCATGCGCGAAAATGGTAACTCAGACCAGATTGACATTGGATGGTTCGACGGTTTGACGGTTCCACCCTTCAACGGCCATGCAGACATGCTAAGTCACCGCATGTCGCTAGATGTCGTTGTTGCGACGGCCATGCAGACATGCTGAGTTGCCGCATGTCGCTAGATGTCGTTGTTGCGAGTGCACTTTTACCATTTATGCCTTGGATGTTTGTATACTTTCCATTATGGTTGCTAATTTCAAAATCATAGTTCTATTAATGTTGCATAACAAAGCTGCTGACAAAACAAACTTAATTTGTCTTGAACAATAACTTGATTTTATTATTTGCCAAAAATGTTGATAAAGACACATAGACACAAGTCTATAATCACAGTAATCAAGGATTTTAATAAACTCCATAAATTGCATTAATAAACAAAAACTTGCTTCAGCGATCGGCTCCAGAAAATTTATCTTTATGCTGCCGCTCAAGTCTTCGAAGGTGGTTTAACGAAGTTTATATAAATAATAAAGCCACTTTGCGTAGATCGATCTCCGTTTTCTTGCGATGGTATGAAAATTCAAGTACAGTATATTTTCAAAACGTTTGATATTTCTTTGTTCGTTGCCACATGTTGTTTATTTATCTTATTGTCATGTACAGTTACCAGCGTGAGTCTGAGTCGAGCCATTGTTCTTATGTGGCCGTTAGCACATGTTGTTTAAACAGACAGCAACATTGAAGAAAAGAACCGAGTTAACAGACATCGGCACGTTCCTTGAAGTCAGGTTTCCCGCCGTATTTAAATAAGAAATGTGTGGGCCCGCGGCGTTTTGAAAAGACGCGACGCACTTTGGAAAGACCCCGCGCCGTGGCTCATTCAAATTCGCTACATTTTTTGCTAAGTTTAATGTCTTCACCCACGATTTTTGACCGTCAATGTTGACGGTAAGGACTTAAATTTTTACCGTCCGACGGGAAAAAATACCGTCAATTGACGGTAAAACGGGCGCTGGCTAAAGCCCTGGTTGAATGTCACGAGGTTTGTAAACTTAGATGTTGGGGACAAAGCCATAGAAGAGATTTTGAATAAAATTATATATATATATATTAACGTTACTTATAATTTAAGTTAAAATGTACTTTTGTGTCTCATTTTTTTATTCTGCTAAAAAGACTCTTAAAAGAGAGAAAACAGGTTATAAACTGTTATATACTTGATTTTTGTAATGTTTTAAACTTAAAGAGTTGAAATATAGAAGTGCATGTTCTCTCATTATATACAATGTTGATGACAACTAGAACCATTTATATAACTTAGGTAAATTGAAATGCTAGGATGGGGAAAATGTTCGTAAAAACTGTAAGCCTGTAAGCGGCGAAAATGGTCAGCTTTTGCAGAAGCACTTGTTTTTCTAGGAACAGGCAAAATCAATGCGCGCGCGGACGTCATCCATAAAATTTACTTGGTGTGGCCTAATCAGCTAGACAAAATCTGAAGTAATCATTTGAAGTAAATGACATGCTAACATACAGTGTAATAACCTTTCACTTTTGGATACTAGGAAGTATTTTAAATTTCAAAATTATTATAATTCTTTTATTGTTGTTGTCAAAGGCACTGGCACCCTACAAGTGTTGGAGGGCAATTTAACATCTAACCTAATTGAAGCACCACTTGAATCCATACAGGAAATAACAGCAGGTACAGTGGATTTTTTTCTTCAAAATTCCCTTTTTCTCTTTTTTAAATGATGTTTATTTCGTACAGTTTAAAAGATTTAAGAGTACTGGGGAGACCTCTGTTGTTGACCATGATTTTCCATGCAGCTTGTCTCATAATTAGTACTTTTCTTGTTGTTTTAGGCCCAAATGGAGACTTTGTGATACATCTTATATCCAACAAACTGTACTATGGGAGAGTGGACAAGGAGAATGTCATTGAGGTAAAAAAATTTTTATAAATGATCCTTTATGTAGAAGATTGTGCAAAGCTGACATATATGTAAACACGCTCATCAAATATGACTGTTTCTTCTCCATTAATCTTAAAATTATGTCTAGATTAAACTATAATTATTTAATATATATCATAATCACTGTACTTAGAGTTATTCAAACTCGTCTAGCAACAAATCTTATTGTTTGTATTTTTAAATCGGGAAACCAATAAACTTAAACTTGAGGTGTCTTACTGTAATCTCACTACCTCATAACTTATCCCCTTACCATCACAGTTTCTCAGATTATCATAAAAGTTCATCTATGTTGGTAGTAATCATAGTAAAATGTTGATCTTTATTCCAACACACAATTGTACAGGGATCAAATTTTCAGCAAACACCGTCACCCTCATCAGGATGATTAATGACCACTCGCTTCACAGTGTTACTTCGCTATAGTTACGGTTACAAACACGTGACACACATGGGTCTTTACTAGTACGTGACATGAGCAATTGATCAAAAGTGCCAGGGAGCTCATATATTCCTTTATCCCTATTAAGTGAAGGCCAAAGTGCTCTGTTATATAGGGCCTTCTTAAAAAGTAGTCCTGCATGGATGTTCAGTGTCCAGTATTCTAACTTTGTCCAAAGAGACAGGTATGGCAGGTGATTCGATGTGGAATCACTGTTTCTCTTGCTTATTTCCCAGCTCACCCCAGGTGAACTATCAGAAGCTGAGTTTGTGTTGTACTTTGACATGCTGGGCAGACTGCACTTGGTGAACTATGACAGGTATTACTAAGCAATTCCTCTGGTTTTAATCTCTCTTGGGATATTCCAGAAGAGGAAAAAAAAAAAAACTACTGTTAGTGACAGAAAGAATCGTGTTTAAGGTTCCTATAGCCTGTCTGTGAACAGCACTCCGGGGACCCCTCTTTTCATCTACCTCAAACTGTGCTCAAGTATTTTATATTAAGGCTACACCAAGTAAATTTTATGGATGACGTCCTTTGGAGACCCTAAATCTAATGCGAGAGGGCGAAAAATAAACAAGAAGGGCCCTGAAAAACAAGATGCATAGATTAGAAATATACTAAGAGACGACAAATGTTAGGACGCAAATTGAATGAGGTAACACAGTGTAACAAGCAAGAAGTCTTTTATTCATCACCAATTTAACAGCAATAAATCAGGTGGAACAGCAGTTATCGTCCTGTCCTGTTTCATCACATTTTTGCAGGCCTGCAGAAACAAAGCATGTGCTCTTTACCCATTTGGCATTATGGGTTTCACGTCAATCTAACGATTTGCGGCACTGTCGTGACTCTTTGGTCATAGTTACAGGAAGCGGAATTTCTTGTTTTTTTTCTAGGAACAGGCCAAAATCAATGTGCGCGCGGACGTCATCCATATAATTTACTTGGTGTGGCCTGTTAATCAAAGACAAGAAAAGGTTTCTCTGTCACTGAACCATCAGATTGGCTCTTCTGACTGAAAACAGGCATGTATTTTCACAGGCATCTTTTCGTTTGTGTTGCTCCTTTTTTTTTGTTCTGTAAGCCTTTTTATAAATTTCACAAATTTCAAATGTATTTTTCAGCACTTCAAGTTCAGCAAGTGCCAGACTGTTTCCTCTTCAAGCTGAAGTATACAGCAGCCTGTATCCTGACACATCCTGCCCTGTTAGTAGTGAATTTTCCTGGAAAAGTTGCTATATAATAATATGTAGCACATTTAACTTTTAGGCGGCACCTGTCCTTGGTGCTGAAAAAGACATCTGATATACTTATAGTTAAATAGTAATAGGGAGTTGGCATCAACAAGGCTATGGATAGATAATTTTTTACCATGTCTATGGGATAAGCAAGGGTCACAGCCCGCCATATGTGTTTTTGTCCGTGTACGTTTTAATGGGACGCCATGTCCACCACATTTTTCTGAAAATGTGGGTAAGGACTGGCAAGAGCAGGGAGGGAGTACATGTACGTCAACACACGTTACTTGCACGATTGCACAAGGTGTAAGTATATGGTCTGCAAACTATACCTGGCCATGAATGGTTGCATGCATCATTGACATTGCACAAGTGGTAAGTGAGCTGTATGTGCTTGCAACACAATTGCCACGCTAACGCTGTGCGATTGCCACATATATATGACTATATGCAGGCCCTACTTACGTATGTACACTAGTCTTGCTGTTTACATACGGTATGTTTGATACATATAGGGCATGTGTGTCACTTGTACTGGCTCGCATGGGCGGTGAATTTTCAGCCCAAACGTAGATGTTACGTGCTAGGGCATTGATGTTAAGTGCTAGGGCATGTCTACACGATCCCAAATCTGTTGGGTTCCGTAGGATTTTGTACGGAGGCGGTACTCACCACATACGGATCCCAAAATTTGCCCACTTTTTGCACGTGTAGACAGCACGCAGTTGCACATACAGCAGGTTGTGATCCTTGCTAAAGTTGCTATAATATGTGGCACATTGGTCTTTTGGTGGCACCTGTCCTTGGTGCTGAAACAGACATCTGATACACTGAAGTAGTAGTAATAGGGAATTGGCAGCCACAAGGCTATGCAGAATTCATTGAAATTTATTAACCATGTGTGTTGCACATGTGAGAAAGGTTTAAGAAAAACGAAAAGGATAAAAAAGTTTTTATTTTCCAATAAAAATCCTTTCAGGTTAAAAACAGCATTAGAGCAAGATCCTAGCTGTCTTGCTAGCAAGTGTTGCTGTTAGCTAAAGGTTAAAAACAATGTTCTTTTCTTACATTCAGTACTACAGGTTCTCTCACAACTTTGATGTTGATGGATACTACATAGATGTTGGAGAAGAACTGCAGGTATGTGTGTTTATTTTTAATTTTTGAAAGACCACACCAATTTGATTAATTGGCTTTCAGATTTGCCCGCTTTATTTTTTAATGATACCCCCCCCCCCAATAAGAAAGAGATCCACATTCTAAATTAAGTCCAAAATATTCATACTTTGGCTGAAACAGTTGAAGAAAGCTCTTTCTCCTCCAAGTTGTGACAGTTTTTACATCTATCAATGCTTTGATTTCCTAAAAAGTTACAAATTTGTTGTTTAGGCCATGTTGATTTGATTATATGGATGACATCCTCCGGGAGCCCCAAAACTGATGCGCGCGTGCGAATAAAAAAAAGTTTTGCAAAAAAAAAAAGTTCTTTTCATTATGAAATCTACGTGGTCATGAGGGTTGAACAAATGGGACAGAATATGGTTTGGCGAATAATCTAGTCTTCAAGTTCATTTCTTTACAATTTCGTCTTTTTTCGTTTGATTTTGGCATTCTACGACATTGGTATAGTTTTTATTATTTTTTTTGTATCTTATGGTATATTTTTGCTCATTTTGCAACTGTTTTGTACGATTTACAGTATGGTTGAAAACTTTTTTTTTTGGAAACGGCCGAAAATTCATGCGCGCGCGGATGTCATCCTTATAATCAAATGAACATGGCCTTACGTTAGAAACTGGCCTGGTATATTCATCTAATGGCTCCTATTATCAATGGTTTTGGGGGCTATGAAAGGCCTTATCTAGGCCTTTTTTTTCCTTTCGCCCTGTCGCTTCATATTTTTTCTGAACAAATCTGAGAACCAACCAAGAAATCAAATTGGTGTGGCCTAACCTTACCTTAGGACAGTTTGACTTTTCTTTTTCCCTAATGCAACTCCATCAGACTTTCAATTTGAGACAATATTTCATTGCCTCATCCATTACTTCCCGGTATTAAAGAGTTGCTTAAAGTGGCGGAGGTGTGGGTTTGTGTTTGTCCGAAGAGAGTAGGTTGACAGCACATGGGTGGGTGGGGGGGCGATTGACAGCATGACAGAATGCAGAACAGTCCCAGAGCTGTCTGGAGGAACCAGCAGGAATTCAGAGTAGTCATGGGAAATTCGGAAAGCCAAAGATATCATAACATTCCCAGAAGTTGTTTTTTTTTAATCCTGCAGTCATTACTTGATACAATTGTGTAATACCCTTAGATACTGTTACAGTAATGATCCTTTTACTCCATGCACAGATATGGGTTTCGCTTATGTACCCAAATGGCTCATATAACGGTGTGGAAGTGTTAGTAAGAGATGGGAACCTTCTGCAGCAGAACTTCAGCTCTGAGATACTCCACTCCAGTCTGTACACAACTCAGAACATGGTAAGGAAAGAATTTTCAAGTTAGCTCTTCTGCTGTGGTTTACTGATTATATAGATCAGCTAATCATTATGACACTAAATTACAAATTTACAAAATCTAACAAAAATATAACATATTTGTGGTTAAATAAATGTTTTTTTATTTGTTAGGCCATGTTGATTTGATTATATGGATGACATCCTCCGGGAGCCCCAAAACTGATGCGCGCGTGCGAATAAAAAAAAGTTTTGCAAAAAAAAATTGTTTTCATTATGAAAATTTAATATACATGGTCATGAGGGTTGAGCAAATGGCACATAATATGGTTTGGCGAATAATCTAGTCTTCAAGTTCATTTCTTTACAATTTTGTCTTTTTTCGTTTGATTTTGGCATTCTACGACATTGGTATAGTTTTTATTATTTTTTTTGTAACTTATGGTATATTTTTGCTCATTTTGCAACTGTTTTGTACGATTTACAGTATGGTTGAATTTTTTTTTTTTGGAAACGGCCGAAAATTCATGCGCGCGCGGATGTCATCCATTATCAAATCAACATGGCCTTAAGAGAAAAACAGCAAATTGGCTAGTATGTACATATAAAAAGAATAGAATAGAAAAATGCATCACTGTCTTTGGAAGGTAACTTTAATATTGTAATGATGATTATGGGCAAGTCCAATCCTTTTGTTGGAAAAATGTCAACAGTTGTGAGATTTACTTTTAAAGCTGTATCCTACAATTTGTTAGCCTGGGTGCCATCCGATTTGTAATGTAAGGCTACCCCGTATGTTACAGGCACCCAGGCTAACAATTTGTCACTTTGGCTACAGATAATTGTGGTTTGCTTCTTTCAGACTTTGCATCTATCCAGCAATGTGACTTTTGAAATGTTGCAGACTGAAGACTCAGTGAGGTACAAGTCTTACAAAATGTAACCATTAGCACACTGGAGTAAATGTTTGTCTAACAATAGTGGTTACATGGTTGGGCAGCAGGCCTACTAGGAAAAAGCCTTTTTTATTGGGCATTTCAACATTTAATCATGATAATGAGGTACAATAGTTTCAATTTGATCATGTCGTACAATGGTTTGAATTTGGTTTCTTTTTTTACTAGTGTAGAGCATTTGACAATTATTTTAAAATTTATTTGATAATTTGATGTTTGACAGCAGTGAGAGAACAACAGGAGTCATGATGATTGAAGTCAGACCAAAGCAGACATCCTATGTCTGTCAGGGACCTGTTAATATGGTGAGTGGAGTTCAGCATTCCTGTCGAATAAAAAATAGTTTATTTACATCAAACAGCGAGACAATTATACAATTATAGCAGACTTTACTGGTTAAACTTCTTGAAGTTAAGTATGATTTTAAATGCATTAAAAGTTGATAATGTATATTGACAGTTATTAAAAACCAATACAGTGTGAGGAATTTAACACATGGGAAATTGTAGTTTCTAAGGTTCAGAGGAACAGAGGTTCAGCAATTAATGTAAATCATTTGTTTTATGCCCTTTTTTGCATAATTTCTTACATGTTACTTTTTGTTTCATAGGTCACATCAATTTCTGTTGGATGTCCTCCAAACCGTCATATAAGAGTTAGAAGGTATCAACTTGTCAGTACTAATCTTGTACTTCCTAGTGTTACTCCATTTACGTACAGGTACTAGTCTTGGATATCCACATACAAACAGAAACACACAAAAATTACAATTTAACAATTAATGGCACTACCTTAATTGACCTTGGATGAAATAAATTACCAACCAAGACTGCATATTAAGTATAAGGTATCTGAGGTTCTGAGATAAAATTATCAGTAGTTCACAGCAGTTCAAGCTTACCTTATTTTGCACTTGCTTACTCATATCTTTCATCACATTTTTTGGATTTCAAGGTTTATCTCTTTCTTGTGTGAAAGTTTAGCTGAGTTGCTGAAGATATGATAATAAACTTTGTTAATTTTTTTAGTTGGAGCACATTTAAATTTCACATTATATTTTATTAATATTTTGTCCTCCACACATTTAGACCTTCCAGGACAGAAGCATGCAGTTCTTACCAGAACTACATCTATACCCTGTAAGTCTTTAATCTATTCTAGATATACATGTAAGAGTGGGAATGTAGGTTTCTTTTAATGCGATTATCCCTTCTCTTCCATCATTTAGAGACTGATGTTCATAAGCTTGTTATTAGAGCCTGATGTTTTTTTTTCCTTTTTCAGGTCAGCTGATATGTATGACCCAACATACAAAGGAGAGAGTGCAGAGATTTCAAAGGTTGTACAGTTGCATTTTCTGCTTTTTTAAAGTTTCGTATTCTTAATAGATATTCTGCAGTTCCAGCTAGTTCTGCTAGATGTCATTATTTCCTTATATTCATGAAAAATATGACCCTAGAAAAATCAACATTTAGTTATTTTCTAAGGATAGCTTAAGTCATCCAGTTGGAAGTTTTAATATGTTTGTTTCCTTGAGTAACACTATCAGGCATACATGTATGACTTGTGGATTTTAATTTTCTTATGTTTCCAGCTGTTTCAAAAACAGAAGAAACAGTGATTAGCAGATGATAAATATTATATGGTATTGTTGTAATTACATTAAAATTTAGTACTTAGCATTAATGGCATTTCAGTGTTTAATACTTCATGTTTTACATCCTCTAGACCACATGACTTTTTTGTGCATTTAGCCCAAAATTGTGGGCAGAAATATGCATATAAGATTCATTCTTTGAAAAAAAATGCAGAATCTGATACAATTACTTATCATACAGTTCTTAATCCTAAGATGTTGACTACAGTTGCTTTTGTTAAAATAGAATTGTCTGTTTTATTTTAGGATGTGACCTATGACCTGGACAACCTAGGTTGCCCAATTGATGTGTTCTACTCTGACAAGTTCCGGCCAACAGTCGACCTGTGCGTCTCTTATCTAATATATATTATACATGTATATGGATATGGATATATATATAATTATGATCACATTACATACAGTACCATCCATATAGCACCCTGTATATGTACAACTTGGGGATATTTCTTATGCAACGCATCACACCGCAGCAAAACACAAGTGCAAATTTAAGTAACTACGCCACCGCAGGGCAAATAAAGTCTGAAGGATCTGTGACCTGATTAAGACATCAAATTAATTATTTGAAAATATTGTGTAAAAAATGCCAACAGGACAAGGGTTAACAAGATATTAAGTATATTTTCATCTTTTATGGGCCACAGAAGCAGGAACAACTTTGAGCTTGTTTTCAAAATCACACGTGAATTGAACTTAACAACCATATTACATGGTCCAATATATGGCAGTAAGACACAACACTACAAAACTCAACTATGATCATACATTGCCAAATATTATTACGACTCAATATCAATATAAATAATATTTGAGTTACAATATAGTCATTTATGGATGATTTGATCTCTCTCTTGGAATGAAGTATGACAAATTGACCTATGTTGGCAGATATGGGAGTTGGACATGACAACAATGTATTATGGGAGTATCATGATGTACATGTGCCTTCAAGAATTGCAACTATTGTTTAATTTCTCAAATCACACCTAATGGCACATAAAGTTGTAATGTGGCAGTTGTAAGTTTTGCATGAATTGAACTAATATTCTGTGATGATTTTATTTAATTTCATCCAGCTATGATGGTGACCAGTTTGTACATGAGGTGAAGGAGGACTACTTTGTATGGGAGACTCATGGCAGGACAGGGTATGCCTACAGTGCCACCATGCAGCAGGTTAGTGAACTGCAGCATTGAAAAATTTAAAGGGTAATCATACACATACATGTATACTAAGCAGTTCTTTAATTTAATCCAATAGATAACAGTTGGCCAACTGAGGTGACTATGGTCCAGTGAACAGTGATCCAGCGTTTCAGATTTTTTCTTTTTTTTTTTTATTCATATCGTAAAAATGTTGTTCTGTGCCAGATTGGTTAGTGATGTAAAAATATTGGCACGAAGGGGAACTTTTGACTTTATCTCCATTCAGTTACGGCATACTTTTGTCTCCTGGCCACGGGATGATTCCCAGTGAAAAAAATAAAGGGGCCTGTCCTTGCGCCAAAAGAGCCTAGCAGAGGCCGGACGGTAGGGGTCCCATATCGTACCTAACGTCTGATAGCACAAATAAAAATAGCCCTTAATCTTCCTGGCAGGGCCCCTTTTTCTAATTGTGCCCTAAGCATTACTGACAATGCTTAGCATCAGTAAGTACAAGCTTCAGAAGTGAACAAATTGGTTTAAGCCAAGTGGCTTAATGGGTTACAACACCACTTCTCTATAGAAATGTTACAGATTCTTTAACATGCTTTTGCAAGGTTTAGCTTTTCTTTGAAGACCTCACAGCGTTAAGACTGCTACCCCAACGAGTTGTATGCAGCATGGGAATAAACAGCTTATTCCAAATTTCTCTCTCACGATTCAGAAATTTACTGCATGTTACTTCTACAATGATGAAACAGCTTATACTTACCATCAAAATACTTTGAAGGGCCTACTTTCTTGCAAAACCACCAGCCCAAGGGAAATCACCAGCAAGACCACAGGCCTAATTGCTATGAAAACTTGCAGCAGCCAAATGACAAATATTACCATCCACAGAGCATCTGCTGATGTTCATTTGAAGAAATCCAGAAAGCTCTAAGTGAAGGTGACTGATGTTTGAGGATGTTGCTTCTGACAGCTGAGTGCTTTGAGGCCTTAAGGGCTTTTCCACTTAGTTGTGTATGCTGTCCTTTTGGAGGCCAGTGAGTCATCTTCAGCTGTTTTCTCGATAGCCACCTTAACAAGCTTATATGAGTTTGTTGGGTTTAAGCCACACCAAGTAAATTTTATGGATGACATCCTCCGCAGACTCCTAAACTAATGCAAGAGGGCAAAAAAAACAAGGCGGGTCCCAGAAAACAAGATTCCTATTATTTAATCCTGTTAAGCAAGAAATGATACATATACATATATATATATTGTGCTAACTTTACTGCCAACTATTACAACATCCATTTGTCATTGAAACAACTTTGAAAAAGAAAAGTTTTCAATCATTGTTTTGATTCAGTGGGAACATATAAAAGGAATGAAATACATCACTGCATCAAAGTAAAATTCAAAACAATAAATCAGAGCCTTGTCTTGTCTCCTCTCTTCATGTTAATCTGCCATACACGTTCCAGCATGGCAAGGCATGGCTTTTTTTTCCATTTTTGGCATGTTGACCACTGTCAAAGACAATTTTTTTTTTCTTTTTCCAAAATCAGGCGAAAATCTATGATGCGCGTGCTGATGTCATCCATAAAAATGACTTGCTGTGGCCTTACCTTAGTAATCCCATTCCCTCCAGGCTGGCTGTGTCTGTGAGGCTCAGACATTAAGTGGAATGCTGACAGCTGGAAATGTGAGCAGTCCAGATGAAGCATGGGGCCCTCAGGTAAGAAAACTTTCAATTTCTTTCTGCCTAAAAATGATTTTTGCCTTCTTTTAAAGATTTCAAACTAAGCTGGATGAGTTGATGCTTGCTCTTTTATAACATGCAAGAATGCCCTAAAATGACAAAAAAATTAATTGCATGATAATATCATAATGCTAGAAACTCCAACAATGATTCATTTGGATTAGCTTATGACTTAGTTATTTTCAAATTTTTCCAAAAGCATCTATTTATAGGCAAGACAAAGAATATTTAAACTTGTAGCTTTTTACGATTATCCTATACCCAACAAAGCTACCATTATAGCAAATGGCAAATAGCTTTACACATGACATAAACAAACAACACGTATATCAGTTCTCATTTCAGTTTTATTTTGTCAAAAAGGATCACTGTGACAGTATTACATGTACCTTTTGCTGTTATAACCCAATTATCTTCTATTTATACATGTAGACTGAAGTTACATGTACCTCAAGTTTTTTTTATGATCGTTACCACATTAAAAATGACATTGTTATAAACAAGTCCAAAGTACACTTTAAGATAATTCTTTTATAGGTTCTCCAAGTCCTAAACTTCATTTGCACCATGCCCTAAACTTCACTTTAAATCACTAGAAATTACCTTTTGTCATGAACATGTAATTGTAGAACACAGCATTAACGTTTTGACAGAAGATTTGTTTGTTTTATCTAAAGTGAAGGAGCATTTACCATTTAATGAAGGAGAGTTTGTGAATTGATAGGCTGCAGATCTCAAGTTTCACCACACTGACTCTAACTCAGTAGATCTGAAGAACAGAAACTGTGTGGTTCCAAAAGGTCACCACCAGCTGACCCTGTGTTGCTATAGCAACAGTCCGTGCTCCCTCCATGTTAGTCCTGACGTGTCTGATGAATCTGCCTGTCTGGTCATACAGCAGCACACAGCTGTTCCCACTGTCTGCCACCATGATGTTACCTGCCCTGTCTGTACAGATGCCTTGGGGGTTGTACAACCGGCCTTTACCACTCCCCTCGCCGCCAAACTGGAAAAAGAGTTGTCCATCCTCGTTGTACACAAAAACACAGTGCTTGCCACAATCGGACACAAGAATCCTCCCTTTCTCATCCACGGTGATGTACCGTGGATACTTCATCCCATGCTGCTGACCCACAGTTCTCACGAGTGTGCCATCAGTATTGAACACTAACACTTCCCCACGTAGGTTGCCCCATTCTCCTTTGGTTTGTGCAATGAGGATGTTGTTCCTCCTGGTGTTAGCACATACTGCAGATTCTCTCTGCCAATTTGCCCAAGGTAGGTCTAACTTCCTCAGCCCCCTGCCTTGTTTGTTGTATATCACAGCAAACCTGTTGTACATGTTTCCCACCACCCACACATTTCCCTCCCCGTCCAAGGCCACATCATGTGGCTTCATCCTCTGTTCGCCCGGCACGACTGTTGGGAACTGGCGGACAAATGTTCCCTGCAGGGTGAAGACTTGGATTCTCTTGTTCCCAGCATCAACTACAAAGATCTCCCCTTCAGCTGAAACTGTTACACCACTTGGACCATTGAACTGTCCCATTCCAGATCCCTGACCACCAAATGTTATCCTCTGATATTGGTTACCATGGTGATGACCTGTGCCCCTAGCTGCAGGTGCTGCTGGGATTGATGCAGATGGGGGAGACTGGGAGGATTGATTTTGGTTACCATGGTGATGACCTGTGCCTCTTGCTGCAGGTGCTGCTGGGATTGGTGCAGAAGGGAGAGACGAGAAGGATTGATTTTGGTTACCATGGTGATGACCTGTGCCCCTAGCTGCAAGTGCTGCTGGGATTGGTGCAGATGAGAGAGACTGGGATGATTGATTTTGGTTACCATGGTGATGACCTGTTCCCCTTGCTGCAGGTGCTGCTGGGATTGATGCAGATGGGATAGGTTGGACCGTCACATGTCCCAATACTGGCACGGGGGTGTCTGTGGGCTGAAAGACAGCAGGCTGGGTTTGTACGGGAGTTGGTGCCGCTTTTCCTCTGTACTTTCCTACCACCCCTGTCAAAATAGTCTCTTGACTAAGTAATGCAAGCCCTCCCTGCTCCATGTCTTGTTCTGCTCGATCACAGGCAGCGGACAGTTCGCTGACATCTGCCAACACTCCCTCTCTAACATTATCTATGCTTTCCAAGTTCTTGCTTTTGTTCTGTTCTGCTTCAGCTAAGAGCTGGTCTTTTTGCTCTGCGAGTTTCTGCACCATTTGGTTGTAGGCCTGAACGATGCCATTTTTTGTTGCTTGTATCGTTTCATTCAGGCTTGTCTCCTCTTCTCCCAAATCTCTGACAAAACCACAGTAACTTTCCAGAATGTTCCTCCCCTCATTGATCAAAGCCTGGACTGTAGAGCTCCTTTCCTGTGCAGCTTTTTTGATGGTTGTCGTGAGATGGTCATCATGAGTTTCTTCTAGACACAGTTCACAGATAGGCACACGACATGGTTTACAATAGAGCTTTAATTTCTCAGAGGAATGAAAGCCGCACCTGTTTTGAGGTTGACGTAGTTCAGTTGTTTCCCCTGACAGTGTAACTTGCTGTTGGACTTTCTCACACAGACTTGTGACCAGGCGATTGTCAGGCAAACCTGCGACCCCCTTGGGTGACAGCCGGACCTTCTGACGACAGTTTGGGCACTGGAAGGTCCCTCCCTTCCCTGCATGGTCCTGTAGACAGTCCTGACAGAAGGTGTGCTGACAGGGCAGCACCTTGGGCCTGGTGAACAGCTCCAGGCAGATGCTGCAGGACAGATCTTCACGTATTTTTGACCCCCAAGCTGAGAATGCAGCCGCCATGATTTTTTTTAAGCCCTGCCCCAAGTCAAAGTACAGGTTACATCATGTTTGCTTTGGACTAGTCCATTTTGACTTCTGAAGTAAGATAGAACTCAAAGCTTCACAGTCACACATTTGAGAACATTGTAATTCACAACTTGATAAAATGACTGACGTGGCAGCAATCTTAAAAAACTACACATTTGTTTAGAAATGATTTAGATTTAGTTGATCTAGAAATTCCACACTTTTCTGTTTAAGCCAATGAGGCAGAGAGGAATAAACCAGTTGTCTTGCTTTGAGATTTCCTGCTTTAGGATTTTTTTCCATGTTGGCATACAGCAGTTAAGATTACATATTAACAAAAAAAATGGAAAAACGGATGAATGTTAGTTTCAGTGCTAATAAGACAATAATTATAATACAACTCCCTTCACTAATTTGTAAGATGGTACGGCCCAATGTTAATGATTGTTAAATGACATGTTCAGTTGGGCAAGTGTTTGAATTGTGCCTGTTTGTTTGTTCTCAGATGGTAGAAGCTGGGAGAAGTGAATTCTGGGTTTCATATTACATAATATTATCTTCTAATCTTCACAGAATATTCTTGCAAGCAACAAATTCCATAGCAACAGTTTCCATAGCAACAGTAACCATGGTAACCCACCTGTCTTCCTGAGGAGGTGCTTGATGGTTGCTCTCTTGTGCCATCTTAAATGTAAAGTACACTTTACAACTGAAAATTCATATAAATTGGAGATACAATTTGATTCATATAGAATATACAATCAACTAGAATTCCGAGATCTCATACCTCCATGAAATATGATCTTGATATGTAAATGTAAATTTCTTCTTTAATTGTGCAAATGACCTGCATTAACATGATATATGCATCGTGATGTATGTTAACTTTTGATTAACTTACAGATGTCCCAAGTATGACATTCTCATCATTCAGCATTACGAAATCATAGAATTTTCGCATTAATTATGCAAATTAGGTCATCATTTGCATAATTAGTATCTGTTGAAGTTCCGCCTGCCATAGGTTACATACATTACATGTATGTAAGTAGTATAATGTAAAACACTAGAATTATAGAATATCCTCATTAATTATGCAAATAAAGTCCTCATTTGCATAATTTGCATTTAATTATGTACATCTCTCTCTCAGCTACCTACACACCAAAAATAATGAAAATATAGAATTTTCGCATTAATCATGCAAATTAGGTCATCATTTGCATAATTAGTATCTGCTGAAGTTCCGCCTGCCATAGGTTACATACATTACATGTATGTAAGTAGTATAATGTAAAACACTGTAATTATAGAATTTCCTCATTAATTATGCAAATAAAGTCCTCATTTGCATAATTTGCATTTAATTATGTACATCTCTCTCTCAGCTACCTACACACCAAAAATAATGAAAATATGTTGTTCCTGTCTGGACTTATTGGCTTTTAAACATTTCGCCAGAAAGTGCCCTGCAGTTCCAGAACAAGCCGCTAGGGGGCCCAAACTCATATGACTTCTTCCCAAGCACGAGAGCTACATTCCATCAAAATTTCATGACCCTAGCATGTCCAGATCGCGAGATATCAAATCCGGAAGTTGCGCTGCAGTACCAAGGGAAGCCACTAGGGGGACCAAAATCTAATCATTTCCAGTTTTCGTCACACCCTACCAACACACCAAGTATGAAACCAATCCATCCAGGCGTTCTTGAGTTATCTTGTTGACCAACAGACGGACGGACAGACGGACAGAACAAGCCGCGATATAATTATGGAAAAACGTTTTAATTATGGACTCCCACCCATAAATCCCAAACGCTTAACCCAACTGTCTTAATACTTTTTATGGTAACATATTAGGTGGTAATGAATATGCGGAAAGCGTTGATGAGTCCCTTGGGAATAGTCAAATTATAGATAATTATACTATAATTATGTATAATTATACATAATGATTTTGGTATTATACATAATTATACATAACCCTTTGGACCATTATACATAATTATAGATATACCCTTTGGACCATTATACATAATTATACATAACACCTTTGACCATTATACATAACCCTTTGGACCATTATACATAATTATATATAACTCTTTGGACCATTATACATAATTATACATAACACTTTGGACCATTATACATAATTATATATAACACTTTGGACCATTATACATAATTTCACAAGCATTTCCTAGAACTGAGTGCGCCGCTTTCGAAACTTCGAACACCGAATTCAGATGTTGGAAATGATGCTGTTACACTGTTTGGTTAGATACACCAAATTTTGGCACATTTCTCATTAAAATGTCTGTTTTCTTGGGTGGGTATCACTATGACATCAGCCTCAGACCTCCTGCGCATTGGATTGGATGCCCGATGGCTGAGCCTGCGGTCAGGTTGGTACCTTGCTCGATACGGAATACACTGTGTAGTATTCTTAGACTATCTATCCGGTCTATGTCATAAAGTAGCTATACAGCCCGGGTTCCATATAGAATACAGCGCGAGGCATTCCGTATTGCCCGAGGTACCAGCCCGACCGCGGGAAGGCCGGGACAAAGGGCGATGCGGAGTACACCGTGTTGTATTTTATTTATGTCATAGAAACCCAAGAAAACACGCCTTTCAATGCAAGATGAGCAAAAATTTGGTGTCCCTAAACCCAGAAAATGCAACATCAATTTCAACGTTTGGTTTGGTTTGGTTTATTTAGATCCACAATTAGCTTAACAATTCATATTGCAGCTATTCTTCCTGTGGTCAATTAACATATACACCTGACACACATAAAATAACTTAATATACAGACATAAACATGTACAGAAACTCCACAAAAACACCAAGTGACAGAACAAAGCTAGCTTACATGACCGCCATATACCTAAAATACCTATTTTACATTTCTCCAAAAGTTGTTGCACATTGTTCCATGCCTCTACAATTTCATAGTGTTCCAGGTGTGTGACATCCGATACAAAAAGCGTTTTCTCTGAGCATTTGTTCTAGGTTTGGGGAGACGGATAGTTTGTGACTTTGTTGATCTGGTTTGGTATCCATGTGACTGAAACGTGATCTGTTTATACAGGGAAACGGGCTGTCTGTTCTCCATCATTTTGCGAAAAGTCAAAAGGTCTTTCTGTTGAATCCTCTCTTTCACGGGCAACCACCCCAACATCTGCAGCAAAGCGTCCTTGCTTGTGGATCTGTTGCATCCGAGGGCGAGCCTCGCAGCTCTGTTTTGTATCACTTGCAGCCGCTTTATGTTCTTCTCTGACGTACTTGCCCACACTGAACTACAGTAGTCTAGGTGGGAAAGTACCAGGGCTTGCATCAGTGCTGCCCTCTGTTTGCGCGGAAGTGATTTTCTCACCCTACCCACTTGGGCCATGCACCTGTTGCATTTCTTTACTACGTGGTCTATGTGATCGTCGAATGTGAGGCTTTGGTCCACATGAACTCCCAGAAGTTTGACGGTAGGCACTTGCTCCAAACTCTGCCCCCTGAGTTCCAGCTGTAGAGCAGGGGCAAGCCTTGTCTTCCTAGAAGTTCCCACTAGCATGGTATTACTATGACGTCTGAATTTTGTATTCAAATTTCGAAATTGGTGCACGCGGTTAGGCTGAAACACGTTCGAATCATTCTATGGAACATTTGGAAGGCCCTGACCGTACGCGTAAAGAACCCCCGGGCCGTACCGCTAGTTATCACACCGGCCGGAACATCCGTATCGAACGTAATCGCGGCCCAGGTAGGACATAAAATTGGTTATCACACAGGCTTCAAAATGTTCTATAGAATAACTGGAAAATTCAAATACCAGATTTGCACATTGGAACTGATGTTGTTATATTTTTTAATCTAGGTCAACACCAAATTTTGGCTCATTTCACATTGAAAGGCGTGTGTTCTCGAGTTGGTACAATGTGGTGTATCCCATATCACCCTCAGTCCCAGCCCTCAGACCTATCATGGGGAAATCTGACCTGTGGTCAGGCTGGTACAACGTACATCGGGAGATATGGAATACACTGTGTTGTATTCTATAATACAATAGTTCTTTTGTAACTGTTGTATAATTTGAGAAGAAGAATGCTTGGAGTAATTTGTCCAATATCACTTCCTAACTATTTAGTTATGACCATGACTGCCATTCAATGACTACAGGTCCTGAAATACAAGATCTTAGTACTGTTTACTGATCTCTGCAGGCTGAATGAAGTGAATTCAATTAAGTTGTCTCACTCACTCACTCACTATCCTGGTTTAGATTATGCAAATACTCTATCTCAGCCTTATTTGACACTAAGGGCTGATTGGTGGTCTGCCTTTAATGTATATTAAAAAAATGATTTTTAAATAGTTAAAACTGTTTATAAAATAGATTTTGTAATCTTAGAACCAAGGAGGTTAAGAGTGTCTCAATGAGCTTAAAGAGTGTCTCTGGGAGTTTAAATAGAAATCCCATTTCACAGCTTCTTATGTGCTTACATTCTTTGCTACATATTTATTTTTCCTACAAGTAATACTTTTAAGTGTTAAACATCTTTAATACATAACAATGAAGTAAGTCTTGAAAAAGGAGCCAACATATACTCTCATATTTAATAGCCATCATATTACAAAATGTATAGAAATTTCTTCAGGAAGAATTTTTCCTGCAGGAATTTCTGAAGGAGAATTTCTGCAGAAGTTTTTGCCAGGGAAACCTAAATTTCCTAAATTGCATGCAGAAATCAATTCTTTCCTGCAGACATTTCTGCAGACATATATGCAGGGAATGTCCCTATATCTGGAGCCATTGCAGTAGGATATTAGACTAAGACCCCATTCACATTCATTTTGGCTCTCCGAATAAATGGGTTATCCGAATAGAAAATAGTCTATCCGAATCAACAACGAATCCACAGAGCGTTCGCACTGCTTTTCGCCGATCCGAATTGCGCCCGCCCGCGAAGGAATTGCCATATCGTCATATTTTCACCAAAC